ATGTCTGCTTGCCTTTGACTCTGTACCCTGAGTGAATAGGTACCCATTTACAGCTACTGTTGACTGGAGTAGCTTCTAGCTGCAGTATTCGGAAAATTCAGCGGCTGGAAGTTGAAGATGGAACAATTCAAATAAGAAATAAGGTGTGCTTTTTAATAGCAGTTATTCACTGACACTAGAATTGTGGTTAATTCCAAAACTTGCAGTGGATTTGTTATCACTGGACATTCTTGAGTAAAAAATTGGATGTTTTTCTAAACTGCATTTTTAAACTGGGCACTGCATTTTAAAGAAGGAGGCAGACAAAATAGGATTCAAAAGCAAGCAATGAAGATGATAAAGGGGTTGGAAAACGAGCCATATGAGGAGAAGTTGCAGGAACTACTTGTGTTTAGTTTGGAAAAGAGAAGATGGTGGAGGGGGGATCATGATAGCAGTTTTCAAATATTTGAAAGGCTGCCATGAAGAAGATGGAGAAATAGTGTTCTCTCTTGACATGAGAAGAGACAAAGTACAGCAAAGTAGATATAGCTTAACTCACATAAAAAACCCCCTCACTGTAGGAACAGTAGGGCAAAGGAACAAGCAGTCTAGCTAGAGATGTGAAAGCTTCATTGGAGGTTTTCAACAAAAGGCTGGATAAGTATCTGTCTGGTTAGAAACGGAAAATCCTGCAGCTCTGCAGAGGTTTGGACCAAACGAGCATTGAAGGCCCTTCCAACCTGTGAGACTGTGATTCCAAATTATAGTTCAACCACTATTATTGGACTGAAAACAGAAATTAATTCAGGGAAGTTCTAGGGTCTGTATTACACAGATGATCAGACTGGATGATCACAACAGCCCCTTCTGGCCATAAAATCCATGAATCAGGTACTTGATTACTAATACAGCAGACTGTCTTGATTTTCATATGCATGGGAGTTAGTTGGTTAACATTGTATTTTCTGTAACCTAGTTGCGTTCCACTCCTCACCCCCATCCCTCTTATGTTAGTCCCTCACTCCGGTGCTCTGTATTTCCCTTCTGGCTTTGTCATCTTTTTTGGTTCATGTTTCTTAACATCTACTAATACAATTCAATCTGCTTAACACAGTAGACCCACTTGGCAAGGGCCACCAGCTGATTTAGTGCAAGTTTTAGAGGAAGAATATTGAGGCTGGCATGACTAAGTGGAACTCATGAAGATTTACATTTTTATGACTGTATTCTGGAGGGTTTTTTTTCTCTAGATACATCCCTACTCCCAGTATCTTGTTTTTTTTCTTCCTTTTTTTTTTTTAGGCCTCCCTAAAGAAGGTTTTGGAATGATCATCACAGTCATGAACCTATAACCTGAAATCACTGAAAAACCAAAATAAAGCATTTCAGGTTTTCTCACAAGTAAATAACATACTATTGTGTAGCATATTTCTAAGCTGTAAAAAACTGATGTTCTTGGCAGAGCCGTCCAGCAAGCTAGAAGAGAGTGATTGGAAACACTTCTACTGTAATTGAAGCCTGGTTAGCAGTCATTGTAGGCCTATGTTTGGATTGCAAACTACAGTGGTACTTTTACAAATTACCCTTCTCTGGATTGGTGTGTTTACTGAAAAATAGATCTCCTCCATTCATGCTTAAAGGAGGTGTTTGTGGGGTGAAAGGATGCCTTTTTTGGGAGGGAATGAGAGTGGAAACCTTTATAGAAAGCCTAGTTTTTCCTTCCCATTCCACTTCAAGGGTGAGGAAGAATGGTCATTTGGTGAAGGCAATAAACAGATTTCAGTTTGTTTCCCAGCTCTGCAACAGCTGTCCTATGTGAACTCAGGCAAGCTACTTAATTTCCCCGCACCTCAGTTCCCCATCTGTAACATGGTATGAGGATCCCTTGCCTCATGCCTGTTCAGGCTGTCAGCTTTCTGAGACCAGAGCTTTCTCTTACTATGTACCAGAGGCTGTACAAACTGAATGGCAGTACAATAATGCCATATAAATAATAACCAAATCCTGTAGCAAGCCTCATAATCGTCAGATGTGCACTCTGTCTATAGCAGCACAGTAAAGCAACTCAAGGCTATTTTTTTTTCGCTGCGAGAGGTTTGCTTCGTCTGACTTCTGGAGAAGGCTGGTCAAAAATCCCACTTTCTGAGGGAAATTCTGAAGAAAAAGATTCCATCTGGAATGAAAAGCATGCATTTCCCAAGTTCCTGCTGTTGGGGAAACCAGGGTGTGGGGGAACTGGGGTTCATTTCAGAATAACTAAAATAAAAATGTCAAAATGACACTGAGCAGGGGAGCTGGTACTCTGAGGCTTTCTACCTAGCCACAGCTTCAAACGTTTCCTGGTCTGACAGAGATCTTGGAAACCATTAAGTTTTCCACATTCCCAGCTCTGTGGTGTGAAGCTGGAGCCAGGGCTTCTTACTCCTGCAGCAGAACCCCAGCCACTCCTGCCATCAGTACCGGGAGCCCCAGAGCTCCCAGGACTCTAAGGGATCTCCAAAGCAGTCCACAGGGCAAAGCTACGCTAGAGCTGCAAATGCTGGAAGGCCCTTTCTTCCCAGTAGTCTTGCAGATGAACTGTCGGGAGACTAGGTGGTTTGTCACGGGCATGCCGCCCGGCAGGCAGAGTTCTGCTGGAAGTTCGTCCAGACTCACGTGTTTCTATGCCCCATGTCCGTTTCAGTGAAGCGGCATTTCCCGATGCAAATCTGTTTTGTTGGAAAATTCTCAACTATCTCTCATTCTGGGTTCTTAGCCATCCTCAACACCTGATGGAGTAGGCTTCAAATCCTCACTTTCTTTTTTTTTTTTAAAGGAGAGGAC